AACAACTGCCTCCTTTGCTATGAGACCGGAAGAACTGGATGGTGCCCAGCTATCATTACTGAATGTTCTGGTCAAAGATCCTATAGAAGAATCCTGATCAAAAGGGGAAAATGTAGAACAGAATATCAAATTCTCATGGAATCCAGGCTTTCTGGAGCCTGGATTGAAGCTGGATGAACCCCTGAAATAACTGCCCTAAGATAATCTTTAAACCTTAAACCAAAAATATCCCCTGAAGTCTTCTTTAAACTAAACAATAGTTAATTGGTAAAGAATGTCTGCCTTAAGTACTGTGCTCTTTTAAGAACTGTCTATATGGGATCAAACTGAAAAGAACAACTTGAAAGTTTACATAGGAAGCTTAGGGGGCAGTGAGTTTACCTGAATGGGGGAGGAACAATTCAGAAAAGGAGGGTGAGAATGCTTGTACAACTTGAAACATGTCATCAGTGTCACTGAATTGTACATGTAGAAATTGATGAATTGGTGTATGTTCTGCTGTGCATATTCTCAACAACAAAATAAAATAAATTTAAAAAAAAAGAATATTGTAAACAACTCTATGTCCACACACTTGATAACTTAGATAAAATGGACCAATTCCTTAAGAAACACAACCTATCAAAACTTACACAAGGAGATCATCTGAGTAGACTAGTATCTGTTTCAGAAATTGGATCAACAATTAATAACCTTCCAAAACAGAAAGCGCAGGCTCAGATGGCTTCACTGGTGAATTCTACCAAACATTTAAAGAAGAACGAACACCAGTCTTTCTCAAACTTCCAGAAAGAACAACCTGACTAATATGGTTGAATTCAAGGAGACGTAGTGGCAGTTGAGGGGGGCAGCAAGAGCAAAGGCTGGACAGTTTTCAGGAGCCCAGAAAAACAGGGTGATTTCTGAGGTAAGGAATCTGAGGTGATTTCTGAGGCAATGAGGGTCAAAGCCCAGAGAGTCTGGGGCAGACAAACCATGGGTCTGTCCAGCGCCTTGTGGAAAATGTGGTCTTGACCTCTCCTCCCCACATCCTTCCACCCAAATTATTCTCCAGTGCCCCATTTGATAGTGATCTCTCCAGCTCCTGCCAAACCACCACAGCCAAGACCTCTATAGAAGCCATGTCTTTATTGATTCAGGGCAGGCATCAGTGTTTGTCTTGGGGGAAGGTGATGCCAATGACTTTCCTCACCTCCTCAAGGATGTCAGCCAAGAGCTCACTTTCTGCCAGGGGCATCACAGGACTCTCCTTCAGGCCTGGAGGAGAGTGCAGTTAGACATCCCTCCTACCCACATACCACTCCCTGCTCACAAGAGGGCACCAGAGACCAAAGAACTACCATTCCCAGAATTCCATGAGGCACAGTAATGTGTGGTTCAAGTGGATGGATGCCCCAGGGAGATGTAGTTCCAAACAGCTGCTTGAGCTGCTGAGGGGGTAGTGAGGGGCCCAACCTCCCCCTACTGGGCCCAGCCCCCCACCTCAACACTCTTGCTCTCCTCTATCCTTACCCTTGCGTAGGCATTTGCGGACATGGTTGGCCTCATAAGTCATGCCTGCCCCGTTTGGAAAATTGAACTTGCATGGAACTGGGGGCAGCGGGAACTCCTTGTGCTCCTCGTTCACCACCAGCTCTGTTGGGCACCAGCAGGGTTTGAGGATCTGGGGGGAGATAAGATCCTTGAACTGAGGGGGACCATGCTGCCCTCACCAACAGGGCTGCTAGGGTCTCCCACCCTAGAATGTGCCTGGTGATGGTCAGGGCCTGCCTCTCACACTTGGTGGCTAAGGGCATGCTCCTGTCCAACCCCAAGGAGGTCTGGGTCCTCCATCCCCCCTGGTTGCTAGGGCTGGTTGCTAGGGGTTTGTTCCTTAGCAACAAGGCTATCTGACTAGAATCCCATCTGTCTTCTGCAGGGCAAATCCCTTTCTAACTTGCTAGCTAAGGAGGCCTGGTGGCACAATGGTTAAGCGCTGGGCTGCTAACCCAAAAACTGGCAGGAGAAAGACCTGGCAACCTGCTTCCCTAAAGATTACAGATTAGAAACCCTGTGGGGTAGTTCTACTCTGTCACAGGGGGTTGCTATGAGTTGAAATCGACTCGACAGCACCTAGCAACAACTACAACATGATAGCTAAGGATGAGGTACTCCTTGTTGTTGTTAGGTGCTGTCGAATCAATGCCAATTCATGGCGGCCACATATGTGCAGAGTAGAACTGCTCCATAGGGTGTTCAAGGCTGTGACCTTTCGAAGCAGGTTGTCAGGCCTGTCTTCCTAGGCATCTCTGAGTGGGTTCGAACTGCCAACTTTTCAGCTAGTAGTTGGGCACTTAACCATTTGCGCCATCTCGTGGCTTATCTTTGTGCCTTTGTGAATCCCCTTTGGGAAACCAAAACCAGGACAATCCAGCCCCTTCCTATCCTAGAAGGTTTTTACTTTAGCCACAGGGGCTTGAGAAGAGCCTAAATTATTTCCATATCCAAGACTAAGCCAAAATGGCGAACAGAAGCGTGATCCTGTTTCCTCATGAGATATGAGGACTAAAGGGTCCCTCAGAACCTCAGGCAAGCAAGCACCAACTCTGCAGTTCTGGCTGCTGAAGACAAAATTTCTTTCTAGCAGTAGGGCTCCAGGAGGCCCCTTGCAGCTGACCTTTGGTAACACACAGATACTTTCATGGAAGCAGTTCTAAAGATCATAATTGTCCTCTAAGCACAGTTGATAAGAACTAGTTTCTCCTCAGTCCTAAGGATCTTTGAGGGACTAATATGTTCACCCTAAGGAAGGAGCCTGGAGGCCCAAACACCACCTTTGGCCTGGTTGCTAAGGAGGATGGACTACTAAGCATCGATGTGAAAAAAGTTGGTCAGCCCATAGCCAAACTCCAACGGCCGAAAGTGGCCCTCTCCTGTTGCTGAGGGCCTTGATTCCCAGCACATGATTCCCGATCTGTCATCCCTCACCTGGGCCATGCCCTTGGTGCCGTTCACAGAGGCCGTGTTGGACAGTGGGGTGGTAATGCTGCAAGTGAAGCTGCCGTGGACCCCTCCTGGGTACTGCAGCAGCACACTGACTGTATCATCCACACCTGGAAGGAACGTAGAGCTCAGGGTCAGGGCTGGTGTCAGGCATCAAATCCTGCCTGGGGAACCTTGGGCAACAGAGCTTGCCTGTTATTTGCCCATAGGAAGGAACAAAGGTTTTGTTATATATATTTTTACCAAGGCTCCCCAGACAATAGCCTACTACCTGCAAGACATGTCAGTGAGTCTGTCCTTACTAGCCAGCCCCAGCCAACTGCCAGCTGACTGCAGCTGCATGGGTGAGCCCAGCTGAAGAACCAACCAGTCAAGCTAAGCCCAGCCCAAATTGCCAATTCACAGAAACACAAGCTAATAAATTATTGTTATTTTAAGTCACTAAGTTTTGGGTAGTTTGTTATGTAGCAACCGCTCACTAAAACAACCTCAAAAAACAGCAAGTTTATAAAACTAATTGCTTACCATTTGCCTCAACAGTCATTTCCTTAACTCCTTATGGAAACTCTATGATTGACATTTTACCAGTAAATTAAGACTCAGAGATGTTAAGTGCCTCGGCCAAGATCACACAGCAAAGTCACAGCCCACACTCTCAACTCTGATCCTCTCTAACTTGACTCCCTTGGGCTAGAAGACTTGTTTCCAGCTCACTATCCAGTACCTGTGTTGCCTTCAAGTCGATTTCAACACATAGTGACCCTATAGAACAGAGTAGAACTGCCCCATAGGGCTTCCAAGGCTATCATCTTCATGGGGAGCCCTGGTGGCGCAGTAGTTAAGGGTTCAGCTGCTAACCAAAAGGTGGGCAGTTAGAAACCCTATGAGACAGTTCTACTCTGTCCTATAGGGTCGCTATGAGTCGGAAAATCTTTACGGAAGTAGGCTGCCACATGTTTCTCCCACAGAGTGGCTGGTGGGTTTGAATTGCTGACCTTTTGGTTAGCAGTCAAGCACTTAACCAATGTGCCACCCAGACTCCTGAACAGATATTTACATTTTCAAGGCTAAGGCCTTGTCTGGTCTTTGATTTTAAAAAAGCCCATTGCCATCAAGTCAATTACTACTCATAGCAATCCCATATGTTACAGAGTAGAACTGCCCCATAGAGTTCTCTAGGCTGTAATCTTTACAGGAGCAGGTCAACAGGCCTTTCTTCTGAGGCACTGCTGTGTGGGTTTGAACCACTGACCTTTCGGTTACCAGCCAAGCACTTAACCATTGAGCCACCTGGGCTCCTCACTCAAGTAGTCCAGGACAGACCGTACCAGTTTCATGGAACCTTCCAATCGCTGAAATCTTCTCAGGCCTCTGCCCACCAAAGACCATGGAGATGAACTGGATGCAGTAGATGCCGAGGTCCAGCAGGCTCCCACCAGCCTGCACCAAGTCTACGGACCGGGCCAAATGGGTAAGTTTGTACCCAAATTCTGCCCGGGCCACCCGAAGGTCCCCCAGAGTTCCCTGGGCCAGAACGGCTCTCAGAGCCTCTGAGGCAGGAAAAAAGCGGGTCCAGATGGCCTGCAGATCACAGAGGGCAGAGGTTAGGACACAAGGAAGGAGAAGTAAAGGGGTCAGGTCCCAGGATTCAACCAATCAGGTCATCTCCCAGCTGGGTTTATTCTGGGGTTCCAATCTTGAGGGTATGCCACTGCTCACCTGTCTCCAAACCAGACTCCACCCCCCTCCTTCCCCACAGCCCATCAGTCCCCATGTTGCGACCCTCCTGCCCCTCTCTCTGCCTTATCTCTTCCTGTCCTTTCCAATGACCTTGGCCCCAACTCTGGCCTTGTCCTTTCTCACTTGGACCATTATCCTAGTCTCCTAGCCTCCAATTTCTCCTCTCCAGTCCACCCACCACATGGCCCCAGAAGGATCTTTCCTTCTAATAGAGCTGATCCTGTCCCACCCCTGCTCAAGACCCATCTATGGCTCCCTATTGCATATCAGCTCCCATTTCTCAAGCTTGTATTACGGGCAAAAGGAGCTCTGGTGGCACAGTGGTTAAGCACCAATTCAGCCACTTCACAAGAGAAAGATGTGGCAGTCTCCTCCTGTAAAGATTACAGCCTTGGAAACCCTATGGGGCAGTATTACTCTGTCCTATAGGGTCGCTATGAGTTGTAATCGACTTGATGGCAGTAGGTTTTTATTATGGGCAAGCCATTGTGTACACACTTGGCGTAATGAATTTGCCCAACATCCCTGCCAGATGGCTATCATGATATCCACTTTACAGAGTAGAAAACTGAGGATCGGTCAAGTGAAATTATATGCCGAAGGTCACACAGCTAGAAAGCGAGGGATTAGATTCTAGAGTCCTCTGATGCTAAAGCCAGAAATCTGGACCTATCCAAGATCAAGTGCATACTAAGCACGATATCTGCCCACTCTTGTTTTCTTGAAGTCTTAACTCTGCTTTTCCTCTCTGGCCCTATTGACTTATGCAATTTACTTTTCCCTCACTTGCAGGAAATCTCCTTGACCATCTCCAGAGTGGGTTGGGGCTCTGACAACCACCCTGTCATATGTCCACTAAAGGCCACGCTACTGGGCATTGGGATTGTCCATTTCAATGACCACACCAATCCTTGGGCTCCTCAAACACCCAGCCAGTGTCTTATTCAATGTTGAGGCCCCAGTTCCTAGTTTACCATCTGGCACCCATTGCAAACCCATTGCTGCCAAGTCGACAGATTCATCGTGACCCTACAGACCCTATAGAGCTAAATTTGCTAAAGGCAAAAACAATAGCTGTTTGACTTGAGACTTCCTTGGGAAGAATCTCAGTCCTTCCAGCCTCTATCCCTGTAAATTCACCAAAACTAATCCCATCGCCATCTGTCCCATTTTCACTATGGCAGCTTTTTCTAAAGACTGACTACGTGTCTGTCATGGATTGAATTATGTCCCCCAAAAAATGTGTGTATCAGTTTGGCTGGGCCATGATTCCCAGTATTGTATGATTGTGTACCATTTTGTAATC